ATGTACTCTGGAAAGGCCGCAGGTCGACCTTAATTATCTCCTTTCTTCTCTCCACTATCTTAAGATCCCTGTCTCTGTCCTGTCCCTTTCTGGAAAGCCTTAAGGAGGGTGTACCCGCGTCCTTCCGAGAACACAGTGACCAGTAGACCCAGAACGTGGTGCGTCCCGATTTCCCATATGCTCTCCAACAGTGGTCTTTGCCTTTCGGGACATCGCAAAGTCAAACTTGAGCAGCCCTCTGGGGACATTCCTCCCCCCTGGGTGGTGGTATTTGGGAAAGCGGATGTGAAACTCCCAGAGGGGGTTAGGCGTAAACTCCCAGCATCCGGCCTAGGCCCCAGTATCCTTTCCCGCCCACCCCCCAGATCTATGATGGTGATAGGTAAGTGGGATGAGGGTGTGAGCCCAGAGGCCGCAGACCTAAGACTCCACCGGCGACAGGACTTGCTCCGCGCGGAGCTGCAGAGCGCCCGGACCCGCCCCGCCCGCGGGGTCCGGTGCAGCCGCACCACACCTCCGTTCTCCCCCGGGATCTGCCCCCGCCCTTCGCAGAGGGGGTGACCGGACCGACTGAATCACTGCCGAGGGAAAGACTCTGAGACCGGATTCGGGGTTTCCGGAGAGTTCCATGGTCCCCCCCCCCTCCCAACTCGACCGAGCCGCCTGAGCATTTTTGGTAATGTTTGGGTTGGTGAGCACGGCCGGATGCCCCGCCTCCCTCTCGGCATCCCCTGGGCAGGACCTTAGAGCCCCGGGCTGTTGCAGCGCCTTCGCGCCTCGGCTGCTTCTGTGAAAATGAGACCCTAGGTGCTGAGAAGCGGGCAGGTGAACTGTTCACGAGGATAGACCCCCTAGGGTCAGAGGGAACAAGAGGGCCAGTCTAAGGTATAAGTATTCACAAGGTCTGGGAGGAAGGATAGAAGGGCCATGACCTCTGTCAATAAACCCCATCCACTAATTCCTTGTTGGTTGTAAGGGTTCCTAGTTTCTAGGAAGTATCTGATTCGTTCACATTCACCACCACCACCGCCACCCCGCCTCCCCAACACTACCGCAAGGAAGGGGCCAAGAGTAGAAGCCCGAAGCTCCCAGGGGAGTCCTGGAATGTTGGGATCCTGGGAACAGACCCAGAAGTCCATGGGAAAGCCAGGCGGTGGGAATCCCACCATCTAGCCCCCTCCCCAGGATGAACCACCGGATGCTGCGGACCCCAACTCCCCAACAGCGGGGCTTGTGCCTGTGGAAGTCCCCACCCTAGCCTAAGTCCGGGGCAACCCTAAGGTTCAGTAGGCCAGCTGTGACGCCGATGCCCCTCCCCCACCCTGCTCCAACATAATCCTCCTCTTTGTGTCACTCACCCCCACTCCCTGGCTCCCCCTTCTCCGACCCCTGCACAATAGAGTCTTTGCCGCCTCCAGGGTGGAGATGAACTCACGATTTTTCCAAGTTTAAAAATAGCTCCTCCCCCCCCCCCCCCCCGAAAGCCACCCTCCCCTCTCCCATGTTGCTGCTGGTGTGCACCCCAAAACAGCCCACACCTCCTTCCTCCTGCCCTGGGTCAGGTGTGAAGGACATGAGTGAGACTTCGTGTCCGGCCAGAGTGTAGACGGCTTCCCTCCATTCAGTTTCTTCCTCCATATCTTCCACCCCCTAGCATCCGGTTTCCTGGCTTGATGATGTCCTCAACAGCAATTGACCCCCACCCTGGTTTTCACTCTGCTGTGCCCTCCCCGAGTGGTTCCCCACTACTCTGCAAAGGCTCCTGCCACCCCTCCTGGATCCTGTCTTCTGGCCAGGCCAGAGAGGGGGTTCCCCAGCCTCTGTAGACGCCAAGATTGCTGCCCACCCCCAATCTCCTCATCACAGCTGCAAGCGAGTCTTCATCCATTTCCTTCCTCCGCCCAGCCCACCCTTCCCAGCAAGGAGGTGGGGCATCCTTCTGTTTTTACCTCCACTTTAATGCTCTTCCCCACTTTAATAAGGAATGGAAAGCCCCAACCGCTCACACCAGAGACTGTAGCTGGCAGGACATAGGATGGGGACCACTCCTCATCCAGCCTGTGGGCCTCACTGTGGTTAGTATATGGCCCCTTCATAAACACCATCACTAAGCTGTGTGTCCCCTGACCTTTCCCTACCAGCCTGAGGCTACTGGTGGCTGCTGCTGCTGCTTCTCCTCCTCCTCCTTTCATCTTAAAAAGAATTATACTTTTTCTTCTTTTTTAGTCTTAAAAATACATCTTATTGATCCCTTTTTGATAAAACCAGGTACTGGTAAGGCAAGATAAGTGTTAAGTTAATGTCTTGTGGGGCGGAGGTGGGGTGTTCTCTCCCAGTGTTCTGTCCAAACCACTCTTGAACTCAGGCTCTGAGTCTGGGAGTAGCTGACTACAGCTCAGGGGACCACAGCCGGCGAATGTTGCCTACCTGGAGCATAAATGTGCTGGTCTCGGGGTGGGGGTGGGGTGGTTGTTCTTTTTTTTTTTTTCCCTAACAAGCTGACAACTGCTGGCATCTGTGTCACCAGAAAGACCACAGTTCTCAGGATCTGCCCAACTTCGGATAGAGGCCATCCTTTGTGGCCCTAAAGTCCACAGCGAGCAGAAGAAAGGGCTTTGTGCACTTGGCACAAAAAAGATGAAAGTGTAGGCACGCCCTAGGCATTGCCGCCATCCCAATAACTTAGGGGAGATTCCACCGTAGGCTTTCTGTCCTCAGATTAGTTCAGAGTCCAGGTTAGTCCAGAGTCAGAAGGGATGCCTGCCCCTGTGTGGTCTTCGTAGCTCTTCTTTGCCAGTGTTAAGACACCAGTGAATACCTTCAAGACCCTCATCGGAAATGAGACACAGAAACAGTGATGAGAGTTCTGGACTGCTAATCTCTCCAAACTGTTGCTACACAGTCTGGCCGCAGGGGCCAGGCTTCTTAAAGTACAGTGGGTTTGTTTGCTTTGGTCATATGCACCTGGGAGGGACGGGATGTCACCCTGGCCTCTAATCTTATTTTCCTTTCACTGCAGAAATGACTCCTTCAACCCCCACCTGGCACCAATCGAAGAGGAAGAGTTCAGAATCGACTGTCCTTGGTGGTTAGCTGGCTGTGTTTCCAGGCTGCCAGAAATGAGAGTGATAAGTTAATGGTGTTAAATGAAGACACAGGGTGGTGGTGGTGGGGCAGCACTTGGCCTGCCTCTTCATCCTTTAGCCATTTCTGCAGAGAAACAGGCTGACCTTCCTATTTTGCTCAGGGCCAGGGGCCAGTGCCCATCACCTCACTCTGGAGGGTAGAGGAGGCAGGACCCTCTTATTCTCTCCCCTCAAGGGCCTACGCCAGCAGCCCGGCAGGCTTGGCATGACTCTGGCTGGAGACTAATGCACAGGGAGGAGGGGTCAATGAGACTCTGAAAGATGAGGTTGATGTGGTTTGCCAGTCATCTCTGAGTCATCAGAACGCAACCCAGAGCATTCTCTCAAGTCACCTGGCCATCTCTCGTGTTTGCTGCCTCACCCCTTTCTCTGGGGCCGTAGCAGAAGGGTGACAGACCACTTCCCTAAGTCCGGACCCCTCTGATTTCCCAGTGAGGTCTCAGCAGGCCTGAAACCCTTCCTGAAGCAATGGTGCTGGGGTCTTTTTGAGCCTTAGTTCTAGAGTCCAGAAGACCCAGGGAGAAGCTGGGGTTTGGAAAGGGGAGGATAGGGTTCCTGGCCTCTTACTATGTGGGAGACTGTTTGCAGGCATCTGTTTGATGGATCTGACTCCTCCAGTCACTGAGCCACGATCAGCAGTGTGAAGAGCTGAGGAGTGGGTACCACAGTCGGGGGCCGCTTTCAAGCATTAGGAGGAGCAATAGGTTTCTGGGGGATCAAGCTAGGGACTTGCACATCCATTAATATTAACCTTTCCTCATTCAAGTGAGGAGAAACTGAGCCGGAGACCAGGAAGGCACAAAGAGGGTTGGAATAGAATTATCTAGGCCTGGATGTGGACCATGGGTTTGTGAATTTAGCCCCCTCCTCCCTTCTCTAGCATAAGAGGGACTTGGAGGAACTTGAATATGAAAGGACAGCGTAAAAGGCACCGTTTCCAACTTCCCTGCCCCCTTGATGGCACCTCTAGGTCTGTGGGACCTGGCACAGTTCTTCCTCCCGGGCTGCCAGGATAGCGAAGACTCTGGAGAAGTGCCAAGCCGGCAGCCGCCGCAGTGAAGCGGCCGTTCCAGAAGGCGACTAGGGCCAGCTCCATGCCTCCAAAGCAGGGCAGAGGAGAGGAGCCTGATTGGGAGGCCCCCATCAGGGACACCGCCCTCCTATTTCTCTGCCTGAGGGTCCCAGGGGCTACACCCGCTGGTAGTGGCCAAGCCCGAGTGAGCGCTGCTACTGTGTCCAGGACGGCTCTAAAGGCCACCCGGTCAGCTTCTTCTGCCGCCTCGGCCAGTCATTTCAGCCTCAGGACACCTGTCATTCCTCCCTCAACCTTTCCAAGCCAGGAGGTTGGGAAGCGGGAGTTGGCTTCCAGGCCTTGATCGGGGCGCAGCTCCCAGCCGGAGCGCCGGGGCCCGCCCCCTAGGGCGCGGGGAGGGGGCGGGGGGCTGCGC